AAAATTCTCAAAATAACAATAGTGAAAGTATTCCAACAATAGTATTAAAAAATTTAAAATCTTTGATTCATTTCCCGAATTGTGGTTAAAGTATAGCATCGCTGTGTGATCCTTGTTTAATAATTAATTCTGAAAATTATTATTCAAACTAAATTAAGCATTATATCTAATTAATTATTGATCATTTATGAAGGGCATTTTCTATTAACACTACATTTACTGCCTGTAATGAAAACAACCAAAAGGGCTCGTATTGTAAACCTATCATCGAGTGCCCATCGTATCGGTGAGATTGACCTGGATAATATTAATCTAAAACATGGCGCTTATAGTCCATTGAAAGCCTACGCCCAAAGTAAACTGTGCAACGTGCTATTTACTAAGGAGCTCGCCAAAAGAGTACCAGGCTCAAATATTAACGTATACGCCCTTAATCCCGGTTTAATCAACACTGGACTGGACAGATACGTGTGGTCACCCGTTCCCACTAGTCTTAAACCCTACCTGTATTTAAGCCCAAAGATGGGATCCCAGACTACACTCTACTGTGCCATCGATGAGACTCTGGATAATGAGTCCGGATATTATTACGAGTTAACTATTTAATTGCATGTTTGATTATAATTAGCAATAATTAATTTGTTGTGATCTTGTTTAGTAATTGTCGTCGCGTTGAGCACATGGTTTCCAACGCCAAAAACGATACGACCGCTCGTCTACTCTGGGAATTGAGCGCCGATTTAGTCAATCTCGAGAAGGAGCTGAGGATTTAAGCCTTGTTTTTGTCTTTATTATTATTGAGTTAGTAAAATAAAATTGAAAATAATAATTTTATTGGTTACATAATAATTATATTTTTATATTATTTAAAATGTATTACATTTTATTATAAAACATCTCAAAAATATTGTAAATTGTTAGATTACTTCAAACGTAATCATTTTAATTCTTTTAAATATTTTTTATGGTATTTTATTCCAACAATAATTGTTTAAAACATTAATTATTACAACATGTATTTTAAACTCAGACCCTCAGTATCTAAAGTAAAGGTATTAATTATAAGGAAATATAGATATTAATTATAAATTTTAAATGACAATTCCTACTAGCTGATTACTTTTGATTTAAATACTTATAAGTTAGAAAAAACCTCATTAAATTAAAAATATTTTACTAAAACTCTAGTTCATTATACACTAAATTCAACTACAGTATAGAGTTATTATAACAAACAGTCTTTATAACAATTAAAACTAAATTAATTGCAGAATAAAACAAAAAATTATTTCGCTTTCTGTGACACAAACGCCGGTTTCGTTGAATCCAATTCACGGAAACCTAAATCCAGTACCCATTGGGGTATATATGGCAACACTAGTGGCACCACTTTTAATGGCCACAAATTAACCGGACTATAAGTCCTATTAGGGCTCCGACTGCGGACCGCATCGACCATAGCGTCGACAACTGTTCCCAAATTCTTAGACCCAAAGGACAACCGACGGCGCCGTTTTAACGCCGCCAACTGATCGGCAAAATACTGGTCACCGTAGACCTGGCGTATGGGGTCGAGTGTGTTGACCCAGTTGTGCTCAAACGACGGCACGACTGCATAGTAGACACCGGTCTTGAAAAATGCCGGTTCAATAGTAGACACCCGGACCCCAAACTTGGCCATCTCTCGCCGCAATACTGTGGCCACCGATATAATGGCCGCTTTTGATGAACAGTAGGCCGACAGGTTGTCTGAGGCCAGTCGGCCCCCCATCGACGCCACGATCACAATACGACCTGTAATTTTGTTTTTAGAATGATTAATAATTTGTAACTTGCTACCTTGCATCAATTATTAGACCATCTAAAAGAGTTTAAATACAAAGTTTTTTTTTGAATTTTTTATAAAATTTTAGTTGTTGCGATTAAGATGAATTTTATATTTTAAAATGCTACACAATTTTATATTTTAAAACAACTGTGTAGCATTTTTAAATAAAACTGGTTTAATTATAGCATTATTTAAACGAGTAATTTTTAATTTACTAAAATCATTAAATTATATTTAACGCCCTCCATTCTTGACACCAAGATTACTTTATGAAGTGTACATTTTGTTTAGAACATAAATATTTGTATTATTTCTAAACTTAAATTATTTATTGTTTTTCAGTAAAATTAATAAATTAGTAAATATGTGTAATTAAATATAATATTATTAAGGAATTGTATTTACAATCATTTACAATATTTTAAGATATTTAATAAAACAATAAAATTTAATTATGTGTAATAAGTTTTTAATTAAAAAATATTTATTTCTCTATAAGACCTGTAATTTATATTTCAAAACGATGAATAATATGCTATTTGCTAACTTACATTAATTATTTGGGTTCTCGACACAGTAACCAATTTTTAATTAAAACTCGTATAATAAATGTTTTTAATAATTTTAATTGTCTACTTATCGAAACTATGAATATTATACGAGTATAAAATTTTAATAAAACATAATTAATTATCTTTATTAAATTATTGTTGGACATTAAGGTGGCATCTTAGTTTTGTTAAAGCTTTTTAATTAGTGTAATTAAAGTATTGTATATACTAATGTTAAAATAATATAATTATTTAATTATAATGAGTTAATATAAAAAAATTATACAAACTGTAAATGGTTTTTCAAAATATAAAATGAGTTTAATAATAGTTCATTTATGTAAGTTTTTGGTGCTGTTCTAAATCTGTTCATATTTTAAAAAAAAAATTGTGTAAAGTATTTTTACTAATCTAATTTAAAATTTGTTTTTAAGTTTAAGAGTGCACATTAAATTAAATTCAAATTAATTTATTGATACATAATTTTTAACAATAGGATTATAGTATTTCAGGTAATACAAAAATCATGTAAATGACATACCCTTTGTTTCTCTAATAAGTGGTATGAATTTTCTGGTCACCCGAACCACACCAAACACGTTCACATCATACACCTTAACAAAGTCGTCAAACTCGCCCCACTCCAGGTGTCCGTACGTCAGGACACCCGCGTTGTTGACCACTGACCACAACACACGGCCACTGGTCTGTAGATCCGCGACAACAAACTCGTGGCACCGATCGATGTCCTCATCTATAGTGACATCCATTCGCACAATACATATCTCGTCCTTAAACTGGCATTTATTGCTCAGATCTTG